AAGAACAAAAAAGAAGAAAAAGAAAAGCAAAGAAAAAAACACTAGAAGATCAACAGGCAATATCAAGAGGGAAAGTCTTCCAAAACGTGATGGACAAAGGACTGATTTCCTTAATATGTAAAGAACATCTAGAAATCAATAAGGATTAACAAGCCAATTGAAAAAGTGGTGAGATGCCAGGCACAGTGGCTCACTCCTGTAATCCCAGCACTTCGGGGGGCCAAGGCAGGTGGATCACCTGAGGTCAGGAGATGGACACCAGCCTGGCCAACATGGTAAAACCAAAATGATGAAACCTCATCTCTACTAAAAATACAAACATTAGCCAGGTGTGGTGGCGTGTGCCTGTAATTCCAGCTACTCGGGAGGCTGAGGCAGGAGAATCGCTTCAACACAGGAGGCAGACATTACAGTGAACCAAGATTGCGCCATTGCGCTCCAGGCTGGGCAACAGAGTGAGATCCTGCCTTAAAATAACAAAACAGGCTGGGCGCGGTGGCTCACGCCTGTAATCCCAACACTTCAGGAGGCCGAAGCGGGTGGATTGCAAGGTCAAGAGATCAAGACCATCCTGGCCAACATGGTGAAACCCCGTCCGTCTCTATTTAATAAATAAATAAATAAATAATAAAAAACAAACAGAAAATACTAGAACATCGGTAGGCAATATCAAGGAGGGAAATTTTCCAAAACATGATAGACAAGAGAGTGATCTCCTTAATATGTAAAAAAGCATCTAGAAATCAATATGGATTAACAAGTGAGTCAAAAAAGGGGTGACAGACATGAATGGTTTTTTTGTTTTGTTTTTGAGCTAGGGTCTTGCTCCATTCCCCACACTGGAATGCACTGACGCAATCTTGGCTCACTGCAACTTTGTGCCACCCCTCCTGGCTAATTTTTTGTATTTTTAGTAGAGACAGGATTTCGCCATGTTTCCCAGGCTGGCCTCGAACTCCTGGGACTCAAGCAGTCCTCCCACCTCAGCCTCCCAAAGTGCTGGGATTACAAGCATAAACCACCACACATGAACGGTTTTTTGGAAAGGAAATACAAGTATCTTCAGAGCACAGGCAAGGGAGTTCGTGCTCGCTCATGGTAACCTAAATGTAAAATAAAACTACCATGAAATACCTTTTTTTTTTATTCTTTTCATCTGTCTGGCTGGCACAGATGAAAAAGTCTGAGCGTTCATTCACTGTATTGCCGGGGCTTTGAGAGAACAGCAGCCTCATGCTGGCGGGGGTCAGGGTGTGAAATGGTGTGAGCTCTCTGACAAGCCAGCAGCGTCCTTTCTGGGAAGGTATCCGTGTGTGCAAGGAGAGAGGAGAGCAGGCTACACGTGCCACGAAATTTACACGTAACAAACAGGGCAAAGCAGGAGGCTGGCACGATCCTTGACCTCCTTGAACAAAGGGGGGAAACTGAGGCCCAGAGAGGAGTAGTGACAGAAGGAGAGTCCAGGCTGGGATGTGCAGACTCCGAGGAAGGTGGGCGGGCTGGCTCAACCTGAAGAACTAGGTCACCGCGGCCCCAGTCACCTCCCTATTGGAGCTGAATTCCAGGCCTCGCCCGTCATAATTGCCGGTTGTCCAAGGAGGTCAAAGGGAGGCCTGGGGACCCTTGGCTTGTTGTTGTTGTTGTTGTTGTTTGTTTGTTTTTGAGATGGAGTCTTGCCCTGTCGCCAGGCTGGAGCACAGTGGGGCAATCTCAGGTCACTGCAACCTCCGCCTCCCGGGTTCAAGTGATCCTTCCGCCTCAGCCTCCCGAGTAGCTGGGGCTACAGGCGTGCACCACCACGCCCGGCTCATTTTTCTATTTTTAGTAGAGACGAGGTTTCACCATGTTGGCCAGGATGGTCTCGATCTCTTGACCTTGTGATCCGCCCGCCTCGGCCTCCCAAACTGCTGGGATTACAGGCGTGAGCCACTGCGCCCGGCCGACCCTTGGCTTTAAAACAGGGAGACCTCACTGAGCCCTGGGAGTGCTGGGTGCCACTTCCACTTAATTCTGACTCTCTCATTAAGCTGTTAGGAAAAGCCTGGTGGCGGCCAGCGACCGGCCCTCTGCTTGGGTCTACGGATTACAGGGATCGTGGTTTCTGCCTCCAGACACTTGTATTATCTGCTGCGGGCAATTGCGGAAGACCCAGGCAGACAGTGACAAGCTCAGAGAATCCCTGAGCTCTAGAGCCTGGGAGGCTCAGAATCGTGGGATCACTGAAAATGCAGACTCCTAGAATCTTAGAACAGCTGCTTTCAGTCCTCCTGAACACTGTAGAATCTCAGAGCTCTCTAGTGGGTGGGTGGGGGCTCTGAGCAGTAATCACCATACGTCCCCTCTGGCTGTCTCAGGGGAGAAAAAGATGGAGGAGTAAGTTTTAAGGGAGTTCAGCAGGAAGCAAGAGGCTTTTAAAAATGGGCCAGAAGCCAGGCACGGAGGCTCCTGCCTGGGAGGAGCCTCTGGGAGGCCGAGGCAGGAGGATCGCTTGAGGCCAGGATTTCAAGACCAGCCTGGACCACATAGCAAGACCCTGACTCTACAAAAAAAAAAATTTT